TTATTCCACTGAGCCATCTCCCCAGCCCCTACATAATATTTTTAGTCAACAACAAACACTAGATAATGGGTCTGGGATAAAGCTCGGCAGCATAAGCGCCTCCCTAGCAATTGCAAGGTCCCAAGTTTGATCCCTGGTACCGCAAAAATAAATAAATCCCAGCACTTGGGAGGCTGAGGCAGAACTGTTGTGAATTCCAGGCCAGCCTGCACTACACATGAGCCTCTGTCTTAAAACATAGCTACTGTCCGCTTTAGTTTGTGTTACAGTTAATACAGACCCTATGGCTCTCTTAATGCGCAAGTAAGAGGCTGGTTTGCCCTGCCTCTGGACAGCGCCACACCTCAAGGTCCATGCTGTCACAGGTCCACATTGCACCGCGTTCTCCAGAACCTTCTAAACTGGTCCCGCCACTCTCTCTAGTGCCCACCGGTCTTTCTCTGTCACCGCTGGCGTTTCTAACCAGAGTTCTGTCCACTCTGGCCCAGCAGCTTAGGAAGTGGGCAGTGCTAGCGGAAACTGCCCCTGCTTTCTCTGTGGTACCTCCCTCCCCCAGTGCGTCCTTCCGGCCACACCCCCTTACTTCCGGCCTTAACGTGGAGGCCGCGGGGGCTTCAGTTATAGACCTTACACTTAAGTACATGTTTTCATCATTTTATGCTTGGACTCGATGGATTTTTTTTTTTTTGGGGGGGGGTCTTTCTGAGACAGGGTCTCAGTATGCAGTTCAGCCTGGCCTTAAGCTCACTTTGCAGTCTAGGCTGGTCTCGAACTTGCAACCATCTTCCTGCCTGGGATTATTGGTGTGCGACACCAATTTTTTTTTTTTTTTTTTAATTTGTCAGTTTTTGCTATACTGCACCAGCGACGATACAGAGTGGGTGCACCTTGGGAAAATTACCAAGTTAAAAATAATGATTTGAAAGAATGCAAATAAGATACTATATTCAGTATATGTGCGGCAGTAGCGAGCACAGACACTGTCAGTTTAAACATTAACAAAATGGCAAGTTCATGGTCCCGCGTTACTGGGGGTGGGGGGCTAACAAGAGCTGCTCCTTTTTAACCATAATTGTATCGTACTCTTCGGATGACACAGTTTCCACGGTTGTGTGCTCCAACTGGAGGCCCTCAGGTAAGAAGCCCAAATACTGTTAAAAGTGGGAAACAAAACTCGTCTGGAGGAGTCTAACTGAAGCATTAAATAGATGGAAAAGGGCAACGAGGTCAGGTTTAAAATTGAATAACATAAGCGCCGTGCCACGCTGCCCGCGCGTCTGCTCCTTCTCCTGGGCTCGCCGCGGCCGCTCGGAAGCAGGAAGGTCCTCGCGTGAGAAGCTGGCCGCGTGAAGTTGGGGAACAGTTCACCATTTTGTCCCACAATCAAAGTATTTTTCACAATGTGTGCAGAGAGAAATGCTGTTTTTCCCACGGGCACTAAATGCTTTAAAGCCTCACGCTCTATAATATTTCCACAACACCGGAGCAAGGTTCCGAGGTGTCCAGCAGACGCACCACTCCCCTGGGGCGCGCACCCACCGCTTATCTCCCGGCTGCGCACAAAATGAAGTCGAGGTCCTCTTGTGGCCGCCCCTCCTCGCGGCTTTCCGGGCCTTTCCCGGGCCGCCCACACCCTGATGCCAGGCTCTTCCCTCCCGTCTCTACTTCGTGCTCCTGAGCTTCCCGCCACCCCTCGGCTGGGCGAATGGGTCCTCGAGAGGCCGCCCGTCGCCGCCTGCTTTCGCAGCAGCCACTCTCGCCTGCTGTTAGTTGCCTGCGGACGAAGCCTGTGCTGTGCCAGACGACCGCAGTAGAAGGCTCAGCCCCAGGTATGGGAGCTGCAGAGCGCCGCCCGCGCAGGACCTGCTCGCCACACATTTGCCTCACGAATCAGTAAGTGGGTTTTGGGATTAGAAAGCAGCAAAGACAGGACTCCTAGAAAATCAGGAACCTGAAAGCTAGAGGAGGAAACCCTGGGGCGACAGTTATTAAATAGAAAGTAGGCAAAGCTAGTGACTGGAGCGCAGAAAGATTTTAACTTCTGAGCCTTTTTTTGGGGGGGGGGGGGCCCCCAACCCAACCCGGGGGCGGGGTGGTGCCGGGTATCCCACCTCGCACCTCCCTCCCAGCGCTGGCCTAAGCAGATGCTTTAGACTGTTAAGCTCTCAGCGCAGGCCCTGCCCTTCTTTAAGATGGACCTGTCATTCACGCCCTGCAGATGCCTTCCAGACAGAAGGTGAAAGCGCTGCAGGCACAGCTGGGAAGTCTGCTTTCATCTGGTGCTAAAGACAGGAGCGAGAGGCAGCGAGGTGGCTGCTAAGAGTTCAAGGAGATGCTACCCTGGGATGAAAGCAAGGGTAGGTTCGTGAAGGGCAGAAATGACCTTATTTGGTTAGTGGCCTTTTCTTCAGACTCCCCAGTGAGACAGGAAAAGCAGCAGATGGATGTAGGGACACAAGGGTCTCCACACACAGAGCTGCTTAGGAGAGGAGGAAAAGCAAAGCACATCTGCGCGAGTGCTTGCTTGGAAACACAGATCTTGCTATGTAGCTTTCTGGTTGACAAAACAATTATTCGTGAGACAGTAGATGGGTTCTTTGAGATAAATGATCCAATAAGTACAGGACTGTCTCTGGGAAAAGTGCAGGACTGACAGCTTCTGGAGATGATAAAAGAACAGAGGAAGATTTAGCCCTAATTTCAAAGAAAATGAAGTTTAAAAAAAAAAAAAGGTAAAAGGCAATTTCTTTTTTTTTTAAATTTTTTTAAAATTTATGTGTGTGTGTGTGTGTGTGTGTGTGTGGCCAGCTCAGCCCACCAGGGGGCGGGGCTGGCTGGCATGTGGTGCTGGGGGATTGAACCGCAGTCCCTGTGCTTTGCTAAGCTTGTACTAAGTAGGTGCTTTAGACCACTGAGCCATCTCACCAGCCCCAAAAGGCAATTTCTAACTCTAGGAAAAGCCCACAAAAAACTTGTAATAAGAAAGCAAGCTGGGGAGATAGCTTACACACGGTCCTAAGTTCGATCCCTGGTACCACCAAAAAGAAAAAACAAAACCAACCAACCAAACAAAACAAAAAAAAAACCCCAAGCAAATAAAGCCATAGTTATGATACTTAGCTCAACAAGGCCTTTATGAGGTCACACATGTAACCAAAAATTTTAATTGCTTTTTCAAAAGTATAAGAGAACTAAAAGCTGTATTTTTCAAAATGAAAAAGAATTTCAGAGACAGAAACACAAAGATAGAAAACATAAAAACATAGTACTAAAACTGATAACATTAGAATTTTTTTTTTTTTAAATTAGGGATTGAATCTAGAGCCTTCATACTGAGCTATATTCTCAGCCCTTTTCATTATTTTTAGTTTTGAGACAGCGACCTGCTGAGTTCTTAATTGCCTAAAATGGGCTTGAACTTGTGACCCTCCTGCCTTAGTCTCCTAGAATACGAAATATTGGATAGGGATGTGCCATCATGCCTGGTTCTTTCTCATTTCTGTTGAAAGTAAAATCAGTGAATCCTAGACTTCAATAAATGAAGTGTTCGTTCTATTTAGAATCAATCCATTCCTAAGTCTCTGTAAGTGGCAGAACGATGGTTGTGTATTACACATGTGCTGAATACCAACTTGCTCTGCTCCACACAACGGCAGGGCACCTCTACCAGTGGCAAGGGGAGAACCATGAGAACCATGCCACTCCACGTTCTTACTGCACATAAACAGCAGCAGTGCTGCCTCAGACAATACAAGTCCATAAGTCAACAAATATGTTTTCTAGAACTACTTGAGAATCTAACAACTTATACATCATAAAGTGGTGTATTTTTAAAAAGATGGTTATAAAATAGAACATTAGGTAAAACACATTTTCTTAAAAATTCAGTGTAATGAGTAATTTTTGTTCTCACTAAATTTGTCAACAATTAATATATGTTATTTTCAGGAAAAAGAAAAGAAAAGAAAGGTAAAGAAACTGAACCATTAATGTGAAGGAAAAATCTGAGTAGGTCTCAGAATACAAATAAGGCAGTAAGACCAAGAATCAGAATAATAATGAGGATAATAAAGGTCAGAGTGATGAAATATATGAATTACAAAAAATTCTCAAAAACAAAGGATAAAGCCAGGTGTGTTTGCACACACCTATAATCTCAGCACTCAGGACGCTGAGGCAGGGGGACCTCTGTGAGTTCGAGGCTGACCTGTACTACATACAGAATGAATTCAAGGCTATCCTGAACTACACAGCAAGACCCTGTTCCCCAAAACGATGCAAAGCAAAACCAAACCAAACCTAGGAAAAGTGACTCATAAATAATATTTATGCATATAACAGAAGGAAATAGTCTTAATCTGTAAAACAGCCAGGTCTGAGACTAAAGGTATTATAATGTTCTAGGTACAAATTTTTTTTTTCAAGATAAAGATATTAACAAAATTAGACAAATTTAGCCATGGTCTGTGGACACTTGAATTTCAAAGAAAAAGAGAAATAGCTTACTAGCATTTAGGAGAAAAGCCCCATTACTCATAAAAGGGGAAAACAAAAAATCAGTACGGCCTCACACTTTTCTAAAGTCCAAAATACTAAGCAAGAATCAGTGGGGCATTATTCACAGAATTTTGAGTGGACCAGTTAGTGATGGAGAAGTCTACATACTCAAGTAGCAACACAGAAAAATAGGCTCAGGTATGCAAACCCAAGGTAAAGGAACACTCATGTTACTCTGCTTTGCAAATAACCCTTACACGGAAACTCCAGCTAATTCAGAGGGAAGGTTAAATTAAAAATTTATGAGTGGGAAAATTGTGGTATAAAATGATTCCTAATGCTATCTGGCATAGGAATATATATCAATAACTACAAAATTAATGCAAAATGAAATTTTTATTTGAGAAGTAGTTAAAATAACATGTATAAATATGAATAAATAAGAAATAAATCTGGCAGGAAAAAAGGGAGGAAACGAGAATGTATGCTAAACTCATAAGTTACTACTTTAATAAGAGTTAAATATGCACTTTAGTTGTATTTTTCAAAAAATGTTAAGGTAAACATGCGATTAAAAAGAAAAACCCCACAGAGCCCCAAGAAAATCCTATTCATAGGTGTGCCCAACACGGCGATGTCACATCAGGAAAACTCCATGGCTCTGACTGGGCCAGCCTGTTCAAAACTACATCTTCTAATCACAGTGAGCTCCTTAGTGGCTCAGAGGGAAGACCGCACCACCGCACACCCTAGCGCATGCACGACTAGAACATACATACCTGCACATTGGCTGTTACCACTGAAGACCCTGAGGCAGAGGATGGTCTATGTGGAGTAGACAACGGTTTAGTAGCACCCTGTGTTCCACTTCCTGTTCCCCCAGACAGACTAGTCCTACTAGTGCCGCTTGAGTTATGGTTGCTACCTCTGCTGGCAGGTACATTCACTGCAGGTCCACTCAAGCTGTTCTTGCCAACAGTTCCAGTGGATGATGAGTTTGTTAGCTTTGAAGGGGCCTGAAGATTCTTTGTAGAAGGAAGGCCTGAAGTGCGATTCGAGGGCAACAAATTCAAGGTGGGCGACTGTCTGCTGATGTTGATTCCACTGGGCTGTTTATGGACTGGGTTGTTACTAGTAGAGTGGCTACTCTGGGCTACTAGTGCATTTGGACTAGAGGAACTTGGGGACACAGTGGGCTTGGGAGATGGATTGGACTTGGAGATAAGTTTAGTTGATACTGAAGGCTTAGCTGACAGAGAGGGCTTGGGTGAGGCAGAAGGCTTAGGTGAGGGCAAGGGTTTGGGCGATGTGGCAGGTTTGGGAGATGCGGCCAGTTTAGGGGATGCAGCCATTGAGAAGGGAGATTTGAAACCCTGCGTGGTTAGTTGTGACACCATAGCCTTGGCTAAATAATTAGAGGAGGTAGTGGTGTTTGGTGCTGTTCTAGAAACCAGGGAGTGGGAGCCTTGAGAACCATTTCCAGGGGAGGGGTTAGACAAGGGAAGGCGGTACATCAGCGGCTTCTCGGAAGTCTTAATTAGTGAGGATGAACAGGACAGCTGGGGATTATTACTTAACTTCACCACTGGGTTGGTCTGTGATTTACTAATGGTGGCTTGTAATGGAGATACATAGTTCTGTTGGACAGCTGAATGCTGGTGCACCTTTGTTACTTGTGTTAACGAAGAAGCATCCTGGGCCTCTGATGTTCCCAGAGTATGAGAGGAAGCAGCAACTTGGGCTTGGGAAGAAGAGGAGACATGAGTCTGTGAGGATGAAGAAGCATGAATCTGGCTTGACCTCTGGAGTCCTTGCTGAAGTAGCCTGGCAGGCAAAGGTTCTAAGGAGACTTTAGGGTTCTGGATTGAAGAACCAGCAATAAGGCCTGAAGAGATGCCAGTATGAGCTAAATCCTGGGGTTTCTTTGGTACTGGCCCTGTATGACCAGCGATAAGACTTGATGAGTGTGCAGGCTGAGTAGAATCGAGCTTTTTGGGTGTAGCCAGCGGCAGTTTGCTCATGATACTTGCTAACTTTTCCTCTCTCAGTCCTGGCCGAGGTTTAGAAGTTGGCATGCCTATCCTTGAGCCAACGGCCGGGCCCTTGTTGCCATTGTTGATGACAGCTAACGCTTCCGAAACGAGATCCAGTGAAGGCGAGCGGAAGGCAAGGTCCTCATCCAGTGAGTCATCGAGGCAGATGGTTTCCTGGGCTGTGGCTGAGCCGGAGCTGGCAGAGGCAACGACGGAGGTGCTGGAGCTCGTGGACGGACCACTGGCTGAAGCCGCCAATGATGCAGGGGCTTTCTGGTCTTTCTTTGGACTACACTCCTAGCATAAGCAGCACCATGTTGGAAAAGAATACAAACAGTCAACAAAGAATATAAAGTCAATTTTTTCTTTTTTTTTGGGGGGGGGGGCTGTGGGAGTTTGGTACCAGGAGTCAAACTTGGGACCTTGTGCAGGTCTCCATGCATGTATATTTATTTATTTTTTCCTTTAATTTACGTATTTGGTACAGAGTATCACTACACAGCTCAGACTCTAGTGATGCTCCTGTTTTCAGCCTTCCTGGCACTGGGATTACAGGTGTGCGCCACCACACCTGGTCTCTACTGAGGCTCAGTGTGCCTGGGGGTGGGGCCAATGTGGCATGTGGTGCTGGGGATCGAACTCTGATCCCTGTGCTTGCCTAAGCAGGTGCTTCTGAGCTATCTTGTCCTCCCCAAAGTCAGTTTTTAAAAGACTAAGACATTCTCAGGACAATTAGAACTGTTTTCTACTGGAAATCCTGAGACTGCTGAAAGCAAAGCACCTTATAAGAGGACAGAGCATTAGGCTGAGCTATCCTCACAAAGCAAAGTACCTGATACATGGAAAGGCCACTGTCCAGGAAGCCACTCTAAGACAACAGCTGACAATAGGCCAAAGGCGCAGGCGCAAGCCAGTGAAGTTGCTTAGAAATTAACTGTACCTCTGCTGCCTACCTGATCAGTGCCTCCTCAGTCCTCCCCAAATCCACCTGCTCTGAGACTTTTCTGGTAAGGGAACTATATCCCCTGCTCTTGGTCCACCACTGAGCCACACTCCTATGCCCTTTTACTTTGAGGCAAAGTCATGTTCAGGCTGGCTTCCAACTTGTAATTTTCCTGCCTCAGTCTCCCACATAGATCCACTGCTTTAAACTCTTCTTTTTATTCTCTTCGGCCTCAAGAGAAAATCTCCCTTGATATTAAGACTCTGCCCTTCTGGTCTGGTGAGGTTTGTAGGAAAGCTGACCTTCGCCCTCTGCTTCCTTGCACTGCTGTCACTCTGTACCCGACCTGCAGCCACCCACAGACAGTATCTGTTGGGCCCAGTGCATCCAACAGAGAGATGCATATTTAAATCCTATTTTCAGGGGCCAAGGAGATAACTCAGTAGAATAAGCACTTGCCTGGCAAGTGCAAGGGCCTGAGTTCAATCCCCAGTTCCGGGGGGCCTGCCCCTTAGCTCAGTTCTTTAAGTGGCTGCTTCCACAAAGCAGTCAGGCTCAGGTTGCTGAGGTTCGATCCCCACAACTCAAGCCAGCCAAACCTGCCCTGAAGGCATTCGGAGAAAACAGCAACAACGACAACAACAACAACCAGTTGTGCAAAAAGAAAAAAAAGAAAAAAATCCTATTTTCTACTAATAGGAATGGAAGACATTTGTAATTTATCCAACATGTATTTATCAAATATCCACTCTGAGAAAAGCCTTACACTAAGAAGAATGTTTTTTTTTTATTTTTTTTTGAGCAGAATATATTTATTGAGAGAAAGAAAGCTCCTGTCCTGAGAGAGGGACAGGAGGAGGGGCCCGAGCAGGTAGTTTCCCCCTCAGAAGAATGTTATTAAAACTGATTTAGTTTATTTTTCAAAATATCAACTTCTTTAAATTCAAGTGAAAGGTTTAAGAAGTATAGTTTAAAATATCCAAAAAGCAGGGCCAGGGGAGATGGCTCAGTAGAATAAGTGCTTGCCTGGCAAGCACAAGGGCCTGAGTTCAATCCCCAGTTCCACCAAGATAAATAAAAAAATAAAATAAAGTATCTAAAAAGCAAAAAAATAAAAATAAAAAGCAACTTTCTAAGGGAGATACAAATATATTTGAATAATTTCATTTTTGGATTAATTTTTAAGAATAAGAAGGAAAAATGAGTGCATAAGCTATCTCAAAGCATCTTTAAGTAGTTTCCTCAGAGCAACCTACGTTCAGAGTCTTCCACAGTATACTCATTTCCTCACCCACAGCACTTACCTTAAGCACAGTGGGCAAAGAGTGGAGAGGAAGAGTCTTTACCACGACCTCCTACGGTATTATAGTAAGTGAGCTGTTAAGAGTGCTGGTACCCCAACGTTCTTCACTTTTTTTTTAAGCTTTCATTTTAAGTCAATCTCCCCCTCCCACTAAAAACTTCACTACCTATCAGAAGTACAGGATATAACTGCACTAAGGTCACAACTGTCTGCTAAGATGAATGGGTAAAACAGATGAAATATGTTTTTGGTTTTTTTTTTTTTGCAGTACCAGGGATTGAACTCAGGACCCTGTGCTTGCCAGGCAAGCATTTATCCTACTGAGTTATCTCCCTGGGCCCTGAAATATATATATATTTTTAATGTATTTTGTGCAGAGTCTCACTACGCAGCTTAGGCAGATGAAATATGTTTTGACATATTACCCAGTTACAGGATTAGTTAAAATCTCATCAATATAAAGAATATGGGGGGGGGGGAAAGAATATGGAATTGCTGTAGAGGAATGTGTGACAATAATATTGGAGGTATTACCAATATAAAATTGCTATTTTAAATTTATTACTCATTTTCTTCTTTATAAAAACATTTAATTCATTCCTCAAAAATACTGCATGAGGGCTTGCGGGTTAGCTCAGTTGCTTAAAGCGCCTGCTTGGGCAAACTCAGTCAGGTGCAGGGGACTGCAGTTCTACCCCCAGCTCCACAAGCTGCAACACACCTGCCCTTAAGGCAGCCTGAGCTAGCAAAAAAAAAAAAAAAATCCTTCTCCAAAAATATTACATAGATTTTTTTTTTTTGAAGCAGGGCCACACTGTATAGTTCAGACTGATTTAAACTCACTATGTAGCCCAGGCAGGCCTTAAGCGCATATAATCCTTTTGCTTCAGCCTCCCAAGTGCTGGGATTACAGATGTGTGCTACCACACCTGACCTTGTGTGGACTTATGATGGCAGAAAAAAAAAAAAAATTGTTCACAATAAATGAGTCAGAAAATGGTAATCCTGGAGCCGCTGAGATAGTTCAGCAACTAACGCGCCTGCTTAGGTAAGCTCAGGCAAGCTCAGGGACTGTGGTTCGATCCCCAGCACCACACGCTGTGTCAGCTCTGCCACCAGGGCGGGCTGAGCTGGCCAGAGTCCAGGCATAATAGCACACGCCTGTAATCCCAGCGCTGGGGAGGCTGAAAGCAGGAGGATCACCACGAGTCAGAACTGCCTGGTGAGACCTTGCAACAACCAAATACATAAGAAAAAAGAAAAAAAGAAAAATGGTGATCCCACTTATGTAGAATGTTAGCCAGTAAGTGAAGGAGTAGTTAGGTGGATAAGAGGAAGAGCAGAGAGATCCAGCAAAAGGGAAAAGAGTTGTATACCAAAAACTTAAGAGCTTTTTTCTTCTAAGAAGAAATTTCTATATAGTTTTGCTTTTCTTCTTTCCTGTATTGTTTGTATTTTTCTTAGATTACTGAGAAAAAGCACAAGGAGCTGGCAGCAGAGCTCAGTTATAGCACACGCCTGGCACATACAACCCTAGGATCCACAGCTAGCAATGCAAAAAAGGAGATACAGTGGGAAAAGTCCAAACCAGCAAGCCACCCTTTTCACCCTGGGAAAAGGAAAAGGTAATTACAGAAAAGTAAAAAAACCTGATTATTCCCCTATATTATCTAATCCATCCATTATTAGAATTCTGATATATTTCCAAACCAACTATTCTATTAATGTTTTAATAGATCCATTAAAACTCAGAAAAAAATTAATTAAAAAATCCTTAACTAATCATTTGTAGAGAACATTATGCTGATTATTTTGGTAGAAATAAGGTCAAAGGTATGGGCATGTAGCTCAGTGTTAGAGCACTTGTTTAGCATAGATGAGGCCCTGAGTTCAATCTCCAGTACCACCAATAAACAAATGTCAAAATAGAGCCCTAACAAGAGACTTTTTTTTTTTTTTTTGGCAGTACTGGGGATTGAACTCAGGCTCGCGCTTACTCTACTGAGCCATCTCTCCGGCCCCTTTCACAAGAGACTTAATGAAAGAGGGGCTCAACATTATTTGGATTAGAAGGCAAAGTAGCTAACTAAAAGGTGACTATTGTATATTCAAAAGTTGTAGGACTAAAAGTGGAAAAGGCCAGAGAATAACCTAGTCATCATTTTAAAAGAAAACAAATTCCATCTATTTGAAGAGATGAAGGATACAGAAAATATAACCCAAGGGCTTTCATTAAAATTAAATTTCAAATGACTATATGCAGTTTTTATTTTATTTTTTGTGGTACTGGGGATTGAACTCAGGACCCTGAGCTTGCCAGGTAAGCACTTATTCTACTGTGCTGTCTTCCTGGCCCTATATGCAGTTTAATTCTAGAGGTTATATTTGCTTCTCTTTCAAATCTACTTTGTTCACTTTGACATTTTAAATTCTCTTATTTAAGTAAAATTAGTCTACATTTTAAACCAAATAAACACAGTTTGCCCTTCGGTCAGGGATCCAGCTCTACCGTTTGTTGTTCTTACTGATTCTCATCACAGTAACACATTCCCTTACATAGTCTATATTTTAGACTTTTTTTTTTGGTGGAACCGGGGATTGAACTCAGGCCCTTGCGCTTGCCAGAGAAGCACTTATTCCACTGAGCCATCTCCCCAGCCCTATATTTTAGACTGTTAAACTCATGCATTTTTGTAGGGCTGGGCTTGAATCCAGGGCTCTGCATATATCAAGCATATCTTCCTTGAGCTCCACGCCCAGCTCATTTGTGGCCTGCTTGCTAAGTGGTTAGCCTCTGAGGCCGTGGACACAGACACATCAGAGAGTTTGCGCTTTCCATTTGCCCTGGGTTATCATTAACCCAGTAATTCTCCGTTACTGTATCAGCTTGGGGTTTTCTCAGACTGTGTGGGTAATGAAAACTAAGCTCCTAAACCAGGGAAATTTTTCAGGGTACTCTTTCTTCTCCCAATCTAGAAGTGAGGCAAACAGAAATATACCAATAATTCTGAAGTGGGAAGTTTTATTTCTAGTCCTTTCTCTTACTAAAGATGTTATACTTTAAGAGCCCAGCTTCATCAAGTTTTATTTCCATTTCTGATCAGTGTAAGCCCAAGAAAACCTTATCTGCTACAGGATACTCTGAGAAGAGAAGAAATGTGCGAAGAACTGCAAGGTGAGGGACAGGAGTTCCAGGAGCAGCCCAATTCTAAAAAGTCGATGACCGTGATGGCAGTTCCTTCTTCATTTTGGCTAAGGACTTTCTCTTATGTGTGCCATCTCTGCTGTGTTTTAAATGACATTTGCTATATTTCATCCAGTATTTTGTATGTATGTATGCATGCATGTATGTATGTATGTATGTATGTATGTATTTTAGTACAGGGTCTACAGGGTCTCACTATACAGACTGGACTTGTAGTGATCCTCCTGTTTTCAGCCTCCCCAGCACTGGGATTACACTCTCAGCATGCCCACGCTGGGCACTGAACCCCAGTCCCTACGTCTGCCTAAGCATGCACTTTAATCTGCTGAGCTATCTGGCTGGCCCTTTATCCAGTATTTCTAAGTAGAATTTATATTTACAATTTCATTAATGCTTGCAAATTCCCAAAGCTGCATGGTCACCTCTCCTCACAAATACAGAGGTTGTAGGATTTTTATAAAGTTGAAAATAACCAACTTAGTTACCTACTACTGATCTTTGCTAAAGATTGTATATCCTTTTTGTTTTAAGACTGTATTTCAACATTCACCAATTATGACTGAAAAACGATTTGGTGGAGACTCACCTTTACTTTGGGTTTGGGTGCAGGAATCACCTTTTTCTTTGCCCTAAGATAAAAGAGTGAAATAAAGACGTATTTTATTTTAGTAAGAGCCACATCACTCACTGGGAAATTATAACATGCAATCTTTTTTTTTTTTGCTGCGGTACCAAGGATTGAACTCAGGACCTTGTGCTTGCCAGGCAAGCACTTATTCTACCAAGCTATCTCCCCAGCCCTCACATGCAGTCTTAGAATTATGTGGGAATACAATTCTTTCTACCTTCTGGAAAGTTCTTTGAAGACAGGACCTATACATAAGTACAATACTCAATTTATATGGGACCATCCAGCAACATTTGTCTCAATATAGATTACCTTGAAGAAAATGTCAACAATTAAGATGAAATACAGATGACAAAGGTTTTTTAAACATAAACAAATAATACATGAAGTAACTCAAAACATGCTAACAAAACTGCCTAACTTATTTAAAGAACTGTAAGACTACAATTATTTGTACAAAAATAGCTTCAAAGAACACTAAGCTCAAATTAAACATGGAGTTACGAATTACAAGTTGTGAATAACAATTTGCTTAAAAAACAAAATGAAAAGCTCAATTTGTTGTAGAAAATTATTTTTAAAATGTTATTTAGTAGGTTGAGGCAGGAGGATTGCAAATTTTGAGCCAGCTTGGGCAAACTATTATGACCTTGTCTAAAAATATAATTTTACAGCATGGGGAGATAGCTCAGTGGCACAGCACCTGCCTGGCAAACACAAGGTCCTAAATTTGATTACTGGTACCTACACTCACACAAAAATAAAAATACAATTCTATTTAATTTTAAAATTAATTAATTAGGTTATTTTGAGACAGGGTCTCACTATGTAGTGCAGGGTGGCCTTGAACTTGCTTATGTAGCCCAAGCTGGCTGAGAACTAACGCATTTTTCCTGCCCCAGCCACCTGAGTGCTGGGATTATAGCCATGTACCACCATGCCTGGCTAAAAATACAATTTTAGAAAGGTCTTGGGACGTAAGTTAGTAGTAGAATATTTGCTTAGCATGTGTGAGGTCCTGGGCTCAACCCCCAGTGTTACAAAACAAATAGATCAATCAATAAATAAGACAAAATAACAGCAAAAAAGGACAATAAAAAAAAACCCTAGAATCACTGGAAACCAGTCTGAAATACTGGTGAGATGGCTCAGTGGTCTAAAGCACCTACTTAGAACAAGCTAAACAAAGCATAGCGACCGCGGTTCAAACCCCCAGCACCACATGCCAGCCAGCCCCGCCCCCTGGTGGGCTGAGCTGGCCACACACACACACACACACACACACACACACACACAAATAAATTTTTTAAAAAATCATATGGGTTCTATAGTAGGAAAAAAAATTTTTGACTTGTCTACCTGAATAATTAAAAAGGACTGATCACTAAAATGCCTCACCTTGGGCCAGCCAAATAGCTCAGCAGATTAAAGTGCCTGCTTAGGCAGACACAGCCAGGGGTTTGATCCCTGGCGTGCCATGGAGGCCCTGAACCTGGGGTAAGGTGAGACAGCAATTGAGACTGAGTGTGGTGGCACACACTTGTAATCCCAGCTTTTGAGAGGCTGAAACACAGGCGGATTACTATGAGTTGGATCTAGTAGTGAGAGAACACCCTATAGACTCTTCCCTAAAAATTACAAACAACAAACAAACAAACAAACATGGACTGGGGAGACAGCTCAGTAGAATAAGCACCTGCCTGGCAAGCCCCAAGTCCTAAATTGAATCCCCAGTACCAGGGGAAAAAAAATAAAAGAACTATAAAAAGACAGTAACAAATGAACCAAGCTAAGATAGGCCAGTGATCAAATTTACTGTAGGTCATTATCTGGACCACCCAAATAACTGTACTAAAATCACAGCTCTCCTTGCTTTATGTAAGAGTGGTTTGTGAGTGGTTCTTAAGGTTTATCAGTATCCAGTTCATATCTGATGCTGCTGTTGTTACAGACTTTACTACTACAGTCAAGTGACAGTTGTTGCTGTCAACTGCTTTTCTCTAAATGCCAATATCTGGATTGTCTGGGAGTCAGAAACAAATGGCCCACTCCCTGTGGGCCATTACCAAAGAACTGGGTCCTGGGACAAATAACCCAAAACCTCCTCTCCCAAATAAATGAAGGCAGCCAGCCCCAACAGTTAGCCAGGCCCAGAGGTTCATGGCAAAGAAAACAAACAAAAAAAATAGAAATGTGAGAAACCACATTTACAAAATGACTCCCCAAATTCCCAATTCCCCTAAAAAGCCAATCCAGAGGGGAATCAAAGGGGAAGAAAAAAAAAATCTACACAACAGAAATATCTTTAAAATGCATCAAATTCAAAGAAGATATAATTAGTGACCTTAATAAAACAAATGATCAGTGAGTGTAGAGAAGATACTAATAAAAATCTGGTGGAGTTAAAGAAATAGACACAAAACATGAATGCTCAGCATAGAAAATAATGGGAGTCCATAAAAAGTTTCAAACACAAATCCAGAAGATTAAAAATATGATAGAAAATATGGGTAGAAATGACCAGTGTGAAGATAGAAGGTCAGGTCTGGAAGACAGAGCTATGGTTAGTGATTAGTTAATGAAAGATCCCTAAAAACAAAAGAGCAAGAAATATGGATCCAACAGCTCCTAGAGGACACAAAGATGGCTTAATTTAAGAGTAATTGGAGGGGCTGGGGAGATGGCTCAGTAGAATAAGCACTTGCCTGGTAAGAGCAAGGGCCTGAGTTCAATCCCTGGTTCTGCCGAAAGAGTAATTGGAATTAGTAAAAAACAAGACAGTAAAAGGGCACATAAAACATGTTTACAGAACATGGAAAAAGATTTTAACAGTTAAGTGAGTATATAGAACCCCAAATAGCCACGATCAGAAAACCAGCCAAGCACCAATAAGCCACTACATATCATATCATAATTAAAACACCAAAAACACAACAAAAAACCAGAACCTTAAGAGGTGTTAGAAAACAACAATTTACCTATAAAGGAAAACCCCTCAGAATTACAGCAGACTTCTCTACACAAAGCTTAAAGGCAAGGAGAGCTTGGAATAATGTGTCTGAAGCCCTAAAAGAAAACAACTTTCTCCCTGACAAGTGCAAGGGCCTGAGTTCAATCCCCGGCTCCACCAAAAAAGAAAAAGAAAAAAGAAAAAAACTTTCACCCAATTGCTACATCCTGCAAAAGTACCTTTTAAAATTCATGGAGATATTGATGGCTTACTGATAATTCCTGAAGAAGTTCATGATCACCAAATCAACACTAAATAATTCTCAAGGGTATCCTAGGAAGGGTCAAGGGATGCAAACAATGCCAAAAGCCCAGTAAAATGAATGATAGGGTAAGTGATTAAGTAGAGGGGAGAGAAAGGAAAGCAGTAACAAGAATAAAGCAGTACCTATAAATTCGAGTGGTCTCAGCTCACCAATCAAAAGACACAGATTAACAGAATGGGCCAAATCTAATGGCTGTATATAAGAAACACATTTACCCCAACAAGAAATTCAGAGAGTAAAAATTAAAGGATGGCAAACAGTAGTCCATTCAGTTAGGGCCTGAAAACAAGCAAGAGTAGCCATCCTATATTCCCACAAAGTACCCTTTAAATCAAAGCTAACCAGAGGCAAAGGTCACTATATACTGGTTAAGTAACTATTAAGCAGTAAAAGATAACGAAAGTACATATGAACCAAACCTGTGAACAAATGGACCAAATAGATACGTAGAGAGAGGTCCACCTAACAAAAGCATACATATTCTTTTTGGCAGCACATGGTACTTCCTCCAAAACAGATTGCATACTATCTAATAAAACATGCTTTTATCAGATCATTGGGCCAGGGAGATAGCTTAGTAGAGTAAGTGCTTGCCTGGCAAGCATAAGGTCCTGAGATCAATCTCCAGTACAAAAAAA